GTTGCAGGATGCCACTGATATCAGTTGTATCAAATGTTGCTGCGAGCAAATTCCCAGCTGATTTCAATGTGCAGTTCTCGAAGTTTCTCGCCGAAATGCTCGATAAACCGATAAGCCGCATAATGCTGCTGGTGACGCCGGGCGCACAGCTAACTCATGGTGCTACGCAGGATCCGGCTTGCCTCATCGTGGTGAGTACTTTCATTTCACAAACATTCAGAAACCTTACAAAATAACAAGCATCACATATTACCATGACAAAGCGCAAAGTAAACAAACCAGTTAGCTTACACAGTCATAAGAAAATAAGAAAACATTTCTATAGAGGTTATTACTTTCATTTTTCGAATTTGATAATTCTGTGCAGGCAAAAAAAGCCAAAGTACATAGAAGCTACCCAACTAAAAAATCGAAATCCTCTCATGCAAGGACAAAAATTTCACATTTTTTACTATATCAACATCAAAATAAACACGCATCTCAAAGCAAGTGAAAAGTTACTTCAAAAATACTGACCAAGAAGCCCATTAAGGCACGATTTGGAGATCGAATATTTCAAAAACTCGCCTTACAGCGAATGCTATAAATCATCGAATTTTGAAGGTTGGCAATATTTTAGTGTCCACTTCTCCCAAGACTGTTCCTCATCTTGTATGGCTCGTAACTCCTGTAACAGATCTTTCATTTCCAGTTCTTCATTCTGGCTTTCGTCCGCATCAAGTGAGTCTTCTCTGTCTTTTTCCATATTTCCGCTTTCTCCATCAAGAGCTTCCGGAAGGTTATGGGAACAAACGAGGGAATTCAAAATTGTGCCCAAAATATAACCCCTGCAGGGTAACTGCTGTTGCTGATCGCCACATTCACTCTTCACCTTCATACTTCCATGAGCACTCGCCGAATCAATCAGCAGCAGTGACTGAAAAGACGTTTATTGCACGAAAATGCATATTTTACGCGTTTTTACACATTTATGCAAATGCAAAAACGCACAGTGACCAGGGATTGTCGGTGTGCGTGTTCGCATTTCTGTCATCCACTTTCAACTTGGCAACCAGTGAAGTTAATGTTCCCACCCCATATGCAATGCTTTATTTTTAGGATCATTATTCATGTACGCCTGCGCTTCATGTACGGACGCCCAAAAGAATTTTTGTAAATTTTCTGGCTGAAAAAGGGTTTCGGGAACTGGGAGGATAGGAAACTGAAACTTCACAAGGATATTCTATTCTTTTTTATGGACTAGAGATTTCAAATCCAGTTTGAATATACGAGGTCATGGACTCATCAAAATCTTGATTTCATAA